TGTGTATGGTTTTCCTTGTGACTTCTGCTTTCTGGAAATTTGCCCCTACAAGTAAAAAAATCCTTCCTTGCAAGCCATTGGGAAGGTCAAGACTTAAATGTGAGCTGCTTTTCTCCTTGCTTTGTGTCCTACAAATAAATGCCCTCTTCCCTCTCTCTGCAAACCTGAGTGTCACAGCTCAGTTCCATAACAATTGTCCAACTACCACCTAACTTGTTATTTTCCTGATCCTTCCAACAATCTAATCTTTTCATTTTTAGAAGTCATGATGCTCTGTAGTTTACGGTCCTTGCTTTTTCTGCTTATATTGTAATAAATGCTGGGTCGTTCAATACTAGTCAAAATATAATTCAGGAAACTTCACTGATATCAGATAGGCTGAAAGGTGCAGGGCTTAACATCTTTTGTGGAAAGGCTTAAAAATTCAGCACATTATTTTTTTTTTCAGTCTGCAGGAATACAAATAACAAAAGCTTGTAAACCTTGCATAATAGTATCAATGTGAAATATTTAATAATTTGAATTTAACTTACCAGAAACGCTTTCAAATCAAATTGTAAGAGAACAGTTTTCTTTATTTAGTAAGCATTTATGTAGTACCTACTATGTGCAAGGTATTGTTTTTAGCAATTTTCAAATATTAACTTACTTAACCATTGTGATGAAACCATGAGGTACGCAGTGTTGTTATCAATACAGATAGTGGAACTGAAGCTAACAGAGATAATAATTTGCCCATCCTTACATATCTAGTAAGCACTGTTGGGTCTCAGAAAATGATAACCCCAAATTTGGTGCTTTGGCATACTGAGTGCTTTGAATAGAGGAAATTGAAAGGCCTCAAAAACAAGGCTAAAAGCCCATCTTTCTCTGACTTTCCTCTGCCTGCTGATCTGCTTTCTTCCCAAAAGCACCAATAGGGATTTGTCTGATGTTCTTTCAGTTTTTAGGGAAATTCATCCAGAAAAAATGCAATTGTCTTAAAACTCTCTCCCTAGGAAAATCATCAAATAACCAAGAAAGATTAACCACTGGAGAAGAGGAAAAGAAACAAAAGTTACCACCATGCCCAGACAGTCTTTTCATCTATCCTCCTGAGGGCAATACCTAGAGACTACCTGGGAGACGTTATCTGTATAATAAGAAAACTTTTGTTCACAGTGAAGTTCTGCCCTTTACCTTCTCACCACCACTCTGAGATCTCAGAGCAACTTTGTCCCTGGTCATTGTTCTTCTGGCTCATTCGTTTCCCCTAAAAATCCTTTACTACTACTCATAGTTGCCTGAATCTCCCATTTTTTTCTTCTCCATGAAGAGATTATGTAAGCCTCGACAATCTCAGTCCTCTTGGAGTCTCACATCTTATATGGCACCCAGGCTTATGCATGTTAATACATTTGTATTATATTGTCAGTGCATTACAGTAAACCTTCAGAGAGGGTGGAAGAGATTTCCCTTTGCTCCTGCAGCACCAAAATTCACTCTGAAACAATATAACTCTCAAAGATGATTCACTTATTAGCACAATAACTGAGTTGTTGCTTAAACAAGGCAAATAAACCTTCAAGGATATAGCACAGAAAAGCCTTGAGAAGGGATGGGAAAAGTCTAACTGAAACTCCACATTTCACATTTATTTGAGAATTTTCTCTTTTTATCCCTGGTAACAATGTGGGAGATCAAAAAATGTCACCCCCCAAATATGACTCTAGGAGACCAGAATATGCTACTCCAAAATATGCCACTTTGGCATAAGAATTATCTTGAGCTGATTGTTCTGAGAAACAACAGACACAGGAGAAGCTCTGAAAACAGAGTAAACGTTTTGCAAGGGAAATTTACATCTACAAAGGAAATCTCCCTTTATGTATCCTTTTTTTTCTTCTCAGGAAGAGAAGAATGACTAAATTACCAAAACTCCTATCCTTGAGGAAGACACTGAACCAATCTGCAACAAACCTTACCCTTGCTTACTGTACTTCTCCTGATCACCTCCCATGACTCCCCATGGCCAAACATCCTTCTTTCTTTGTTTCCTTTGAAGATGGTATTTAAGCCTGAACTCAAAGAACTCTGAGATTTACTCATTCCTTGAGTATTTCCCATGGACACATGAGGCGTACATGCTAACAAACTTCTGTTTGTTTTTCTCTTGCTTATCTGTCTTTTGTTAAAAGTGTCTGTCCTAAGAACTATGAAGGGTAGGGAGAAGATTATTTTTCCTCCCCTACAGTACCAATGGCCCTCTCTAAAGCTCTGCCCAACAATAACCGAATTAAACTTTTCTTTGCTTCTACTTAGTATTGCCAAGATAGGCTAGCATTTTTGAAATATGACTTATAATACCAAGCATTAAAAAAAGGAAAGAAAAAAAAAGAAAGAAAATTCAACTGGCACAAAATGGTAAGTATGGTAATACACATATCTAATGGAAAGAATTAATATCTGATTCAACAACAATGGACTAGCTTACCACATTCATTGACCTAGCTGCATCCCATGCTTATTTCCTTAACTGGTCTCTCAATCTAAAGACCCCTAAGCCTTCCCAACTGCTTACTATCCTACTTCACTAAAGGGTTATATTGATGGGAACCAATTTTTTTCCTCAATTTATTAATCATCTATTTATGACCGCCTAAGAAAACTTTTAAAAAGGATATTCTCTATCACTCAGGAAACTCCATTCCATTCCCTGTATAGGTTTTGAAGGATATTTGCCTGGAAGGACTGTAACCATTGGAACTACCACCAACTACTTAAGCTGTAGTGTACTGAATATAATGTAATGAAATATAATATAATATAATGTAATTGAAAGGACATAACATGGAGCCAATATACCCAATGAGCAGCCATTTTAACATTGTTTAGCTCTGTCATGTTTCTCTAGCAGTTCACTTTAATTTATCCTCTAATCACTAGCCAAGGACAGAACCGGTTTCTCGGAGGTAATGATTAATAATTGCTTTACAACCCTCTCCCCAGCTTGTTTTGTACTAAGTAACTTTTCTATTTCAAGTATTTGCCTCCACACATAAGCCCCAGTTAACCTAATCAGCCCTTAATGACCTCCATGACACAGACAGACTCAATTACTATGGCAGCAATTATGTGAACATCTGCTAGGGCTGTCCATCACTTGGTGTCAGTACCTGTGCTTACCTGTCCCCTCTGTGATGGCATGAAGCAGAGTACCACTCAATCACCTTATCAATTTTCTCCCATCAAAGAGAAAGTTTAAAAGACATTCAACTTCAAGTAGCAGTTGCCATTGCTTTTCTAAGCCATGGTCTGACCATGTGGCTCCTTGAGCTATGGTTGCTGTATTTCCTAGCTTGGTTCCCCTCCCCCCTCCCCTACCTTGGGGAGGTGAATCTCCTTTCTATCTCTCTCTCTCTCTTTCCCCCTCTCTTCCGCTCCCTCTCCCCCTCTCCCTTGGCCAATGTTTTGTTAAGCACTGGCCAGGTCATGTGCTCTTTCAGCTATGGCCACCGTGTTTTCTTAGCTTTGGCTCCCCTCTCCTACCTTGGGGAGCTTGGGGATATAAATCTTCTCTCTCCTCTCTAATTGACTTTCTAAATAAACTATATTTTCCAATATAAATTCTGTGCAATTCTTTGCATTTTTCTCATAGCACTGGATCGCAAACCAGACACTCCCCCATAGAGCCTGACCTAACATTTGGAAGCCCCACTGGGATATATTTTAATCTAACATTTTTGGAGTCCCTAGTGAGATCTTTAACCTAACAATAACATACAGAAGTCACACAAGAAGGATTATATAGGTATAGTAACAGCAAGGTTTTCCTGCTAAAAATTTCTTCCATAATTATGTGAAAAATTATATTCAGAATTTTCCTTTTCCTATTTATAAACTTTAAAAAGTTCTCAGGGAAAAAAAAAAAAACCTAAGTAGCAATTTCCTAGGCTGCAATTTTCTGAAAAAAGGAATCACTTAGTATTTACAATCAGAAAGCAAAAATTACATATACCATATACTAATGAATGTGTTGCATTTTTATTAAATGTGTTCCATAAAAATATTTTATAAGACAGTCTACAGTAAGGCAGACAAATCTATGAACTGCATCAGTTAAGCTTAAATGCTACATCACCATCATTGTCTCTAAGGCACATATGACATTACCAAATTCTTATTCTATTTTTGCTTCTATAGAACTGTATAAAATAAGCAACATTTTGGTACCAATTCATCACCAAGAAGGGCAAATTTTCACTATAATGCCTTATGTATTTAAAAGACTTTTATAACTATTTAAGGGGTGACATTTTACTTTTGCATAGCTTAGCAATGTATTAATATATTCACTTTATTTTTTAAAATGTATGGATACATTACAAAATTTTAATCATAGAAGAATACAAATAATTTAAAATTCTTGGCATATGCATTAACATGATCTTCACATTCAGATTGAATGAATATTCTATTGCTTCCAACCAAAAAACTTAAGAGAAAGTAAGAGGTGAAATGTGGACAAATTCAAAATACCTTCGTTTAAAGATAAATATCAAGGAAACACAAACTTCTCTGCATAGCAGTAACACAATGACTTTTAAAGTTTCCTCTGGAATTTCCCCCACACAGTAACTTTATTGTCCTAATTTGTTGTACCTTAAAATAGTCAAGAGTTGAAACAAAGAATGCAAATTTTGTTCATAAATTCTCATGTATCCTTAAACTATCATAACTTCTTAAAGACAGGTTATGGATAAAAAAAAAACATGCAGGGCTTCAAACCAGTATTTGTACATCATAAATCAATATGAATTTTGAAGATTAAATACATTCTTTACAAATGGTTAAAAAAGCAATCATGCTGAGAAGACAGGGAACCTTTTTCCTTGGCTGTTATCAAAGACAAATGGCATTGATGATACAGGATTTTGTACATTTACTTATTTTTAATATTTAGAATGAAGAGACCAAAAGGACTGCAAATAGAATTTCCAGATCTAAATGTATAGACTTACTGGTACATGCCATAGAAGGGGGGTCTTTTTCAGCTCTGAAGTAACCCTTCTCACACTGACAGACAGAAGTTGCTTCCATGTAGGTTAAGCTGTGTGGAGGACATTTAGAACACTTGGTGTTCCCGGCAAATGCTTTATAGAATCCTGGTCTGCAAGCTGTAAAAACAGAAGAAACCATTTTTTCTTGAAGTTATTCCTTGAATTCTTTTGTCTGTACTTGTACATCATATTTTAATTTATATGCACATTAGATCTCAGAGTTCAGTGTCACACATACACAGAAAAATCAATATATATTGACATTAATAAATGAAATTAGTTATTCAGAGTTAGTAACATGACTGAGACATCATGTTTTAGCTAAGGCTGCTAATTTGTAAACGTATACCCCGAGCATACACACACACACACACACACACACACACACACACACACAAAGTATGTTTCTGGTAAAACAAAAAATAAAAAATGAGTGATCTGCCCTATGCATATCTTAACAAAGTTTTTTGCACTTATCCTTATTATCAGAGTACTGGAAGACAAAGAACCCTGAAAAATTCTACTTGGCATATCAAGCTGTGTAGTTCTCACCATTTGAAGAAATACTGAATTGTGTTGTGTGTGACAGGAACTTATATTAATATAATTAACTGCTTTTTCTTCATGTACTCACCAGTCCGTAAGTTCAGATAAACCTGAATGACTTATCAGCAAAAGATGTGATCTGCATCATTTCTCAAAGTAATAGAATTCATAAAAGAAATTTTAAAAATTTGTAAAAAGCAGCGTCACTAGATGCTGTTGCACAACAAATGTTGGTGTCATGTAATTAGAGAAGGCAGGGAAGAGTAAGAAATTTAAACATAAAAAGAAAAGAAAAATAACCCTAAAAGTTAAGAGTAAAAAAGTGCAAATACTGGGTTTCGTCAGAATAACCTAATAATAGCAATCCAAGGAAAATCTCAAAGTCACCAATTCCAAGTTTATAAATAATAAGTTTGTTTATTGTTCTTCAAAATATTCAGCCTATTTTTCTTTGGAGAGTGGCTACTCTAAAGACCAAATGAGCTAACGCATGTTAAATGGTCCAGTTACTAATTCCAACTTCTTTCTTACTGTCATCAAAGAAATGTTTAAAGTAAACTTCCTCTTGAACAAGCAAATAGAAACACCTTCAGACCTACAGAAATACATTGCAAGCTACATGACTTTCACCCTAAAGAATCAGAGTAAAAAGCTCTGATTCTGGGAAAAGATAGAGTAAACACATCACACCCTGTTTTTCCTGCTTAACTATAAAATCTGGCAGAATACCCTAAGCAACTTTTTAAGGACTCTGAAAAGTAAGTAGAAGTAGGAAGATGGGTGGTGAGAAGCAAAATTTGAAGTGCCGCTGAGCTGGTGGTGAGTTTACCATTGTTTTCTTCCTTCTCCCCATTTCCCACTCACCCCACCCTGGCCTGAATGGACAGAAAACTTGGAAGTGGGAGCCAGGTCATGGACAGCTTCAGCTTTTGACTTCAAGGGGGGGAATCAGAACTCCGAATGCTCAGAAAGAATGGGGGACTCCCCCCTCCCCTTTTTTATTTTCTCCTTAGCTCTTGTCCAGCCCTCAAGCATTCACATGGTGGCGGTGATAATGGGAACCCATTCGTCAACATTTTTTTGTTTAAGTTGGGGTCTCATTTTGTTGCCCAGGCTGGAGTAGAGTGGCACAAATGATCACAGCTCACTGCAGCCTCCACTTCCTGGGCTCAGATGATCCTTCTGCCACAGCCTCCCAAGCAGCTGGGACTATAAGAGCATGCCACCATAGCCAGCTAATTTTTTGTTAGAGATGCGGTCTTGCTAAATTGTGTAGGCTGGTCTTGAACTCCTGGCCTCAAGCAATCCTCTTGCCTCAGTCTTCCAAAATCCTGGGATTACAGCCATTGAACATGGCCCCAAATTCTTAAAAGAGGAAACCTTCCTCTTTGTTCACTGAAGCTGTGGTTCTAAGAAGATTTGGTCCACCTCATTGCATTTCTTCTTTTCTCTTTGTCTTCCTCCCACTTGGCCCTGGATACAAAGTGCACAACAGAGTAGGGCAAATCAAGTCACAGTCTTCTTGCCAAGGGGTCTTAAACAGGAAGCACAGGAAACCAGAAAGTGCCAGGGTGAGCATGGGGAGAGAGGAACTTAGCACAGCAATCCTTGAACTTGCTCATGAACTTCTGGGTTCATTCAGGACCCATTTTGCATTTGGTTCTATTTAACATGCCAAGGACTTAAGAACTGAACCAAAGAACCAGCACCCAGCTCGCAGACTAGCAGCCAAGTTTTAAACTTCTGGTTAGGTAAAGAAGAGGATACCAACCTAGAAACCACGTACTGTTGATGTTAGTCTTTGTTGTCACTATTGTGACACATTAACTTACAAAAGAAACAGGGATTTTATAGAAATATATATTATCCATAGATATATGCAAATCTAGGTAAGTTGCCATTAATAAATGTAAAGTGAATGCATTAGATCCTAGTTTTACCATATTTTCTCTCTGATTCATGATATGTATGTTAAAGACTATTGAACACAAGCACATTCATTCAAGAGATGGAAAAGTGTCAAGTTCAGGGCATTATTTACAAAATAAAGTCAAAAATACTTTAGTCGTCTAAGACTGGTAACAAGCAAAATTAAAATTCTAAAGCTGTTTCTACTGTGAGAAGAAGGTAAGTGTTTCTATTCTGGAAGTAAGGATAAAGTATGGAGACCAAAATGCTTTATATCAACAGTGTTTAGAATTAGGCTCCATTTTTATATTTTATCACCACTTTGAATACAATATGGTGATAATACTAGCGACACATTGAAAACTAAATATGCTTCCACCAGTACAGATCACCTTTTAAGCATCCCATCATTCGTATTTTAAAGTGGTTTTTACTTAATTTTCTGCTCCCCAGTTTATTTTAGTCAACCATACTTAACTCCGCATCAATACTGCTTCTTTCATATTTAGCACTGCTTTTAAAAAATGTCCTTAGTGAATCTATCCCCATCTTACCAAGTATCTTAAAATAAAATTCTCTTTAGTTTTTTTTATCCCTTTATCAGAGATTCTTATTCTTACTCCACTGTTTTTTTCTAGACATTCATTAATAACAGTTTCTCACTTTTTCTTTCAATATTTCTTCCTTGCATATTCCTTAAGTCAGACTGAACTTACTTTAATGAATTTTTTAAAAAGTCTCCAAAGAGAAGATACCCAGTAATTCGCCATAGGATATATTAGTAATAATGGCTACAGCAAAACCATTTATAATTATTGAGCATTCAGAATGAGCTAGGCACTTTATTGGGCATTTTGCATACAATTTTTTGGTTATTCTCACCAAAAAATTAACTACAAAGAATAATAAAGGATGTGGCCTTTGAAATTAGATTGCATGGATTTGAATTCTGCCTGTGTATTTTACTAGCTCTGTCATTTCAGGTAACTGATTTTCTTTGTACAACTTTTCTGTAAAATATGTGCTGTAGACTAAGTATTTGTGTCCTTCCCCTCAAATGTGTATGTTGAAGCCTAAATCCCCAATGTGACTGTATTGGAAGGTGCAGACTTTGGCAGGTGATTAAATAATGAGGATGGTGATCTTATGAATGGGATTAGTGCCCTTTTCAGGGAATGGAGAAATCAGAGCGCTCTGCTGTCTTATATGTCAGCACACAACAAGAAGATAGTCATCAGTTAGTAAGGAAGAGGGCCCTCACCAGACAACAGATCAGTTGGAGCCTTGATCTCAGACTCTCCAGCCTCAAGAACATATTGTTTAAGCCACACAGTCTATGGTAATTTATTCCAGCAGCTCAAGCTGACTAAAAGATAGCACCAACTCAGGGGTTGTTATGAGGATTTAATAAATATAATGTGTACAAAGTAGGGTGTCTGGCATTTTCTTATTTAGATGAGAAAACTGAAGCTAAATGATACCAAGTAACGTGCTGTGGCAGATTGTATTTTCCAAAAATTGGCCCAAATATATCTTCCAAATCACTTGTTCTTCTGGCAATGTCTTATAGACACTCTTTTGACAAGAACACTAGGTCTCTGTTCTCTCCTTTTGAATCCAGTGTGCTTGTGACTATAGTAGAGGTGGCTTTATGGGATTTCCTAGGCTAGGTCATAAAAGGTGATAGAGCTTTTGTCTGATTCTTTGAGATTCTTATTTTTAGCAAGGAGGAAGCACCATATCAGGTCAAGCAGTCATGGAGGGGACCATGTGTGGAAGAACTTGGGTTCTTGGCCCACAGCTATGGTCATGCTCCCGGCTGGCAACCAGCACGAGTTTGCCAGACAGGTAAGTCATCTGGAATATGGATTTTCCAATCCTCAGTCCAGTCACCCCAGCTGATGCTACATAGAGCAGAGATGAACTGTCCTTGATGAACCTTGCTCAAGTCACAGATACATAACAAAATAAATGATTGGTGCTATTTTAAGTCACTAAATGTTGGAGTGGTTTCCTATGCTGCACTGGGGAACTGGAAAACTTGGGCATATGGAAGAAGCCAGAAGTTAAGGAGAAGGTTCGTCTAATCTATAATCTGAGTTCTCATCATTAATTTTCCTATTATATTTGGAACACTCTGCTTATTTTGCAATCTGGGTCCATGATGGTGCCAACCACACCTTTTAAGGATCATTGATAATGGTATTTGATTATATATAACTATTATAATAAAACACTTTTTTTTTTTTTTGAGTTGGAGTCTCACTCTGTCGCCCAGACTGGAGTGCAGTGGCCGCTCCCGGCCACCGCAGCCTCAACCTGCTAGACTCTGGCGATCCTTCCGCCTCAGCCTTCCGAGTAGCCGGAATTATAGGTGTGTGCTACCACGCCCGGCTGATTTTTTGATTTATTGTAGAGATGAGGTCTCGCTGCCCAGGCGGGTCTCGAACCCGCGGGCTCAGGCAATTCACTCACCTCAGCCTCCCAAAGGCGCGGGATTACAGGCTGAGCCATCGAGCCCGGCTATAAAACACTTTTTAACTAATGGTTTCATTTTCTCTTAACCATGATTCTTTTATGTAAGAAGCAAAACTAATACAGCTTTATTCAGATTGGTAGAGATAAAAATGTATTCCAAAACTTTCATTTCACAAAAATGTTTT